TTCGCTGGCTCTAGTCTTTTTTCCATTTTTTGAAAAAATTTACTTATTTATTTATTTCCATTTGTTATTGTTATTTTTTTCTTTATTTGTGAGAGAGAGAGAAAGAGAGAGAGAGAGAAAGGGAAAGTGAGAAAGCAAGTCACCAGGTCCGGTACTTGAACCATAGTTAGCCATGTGGGAATCCAGCGCCCTTATCCACCACACCACCTGCTGGCCCCTTAAAATTCATTTATTCATTCATTTATTTTTAATTTGACCAGACACACACACACACAGAAAGGGAAAACAGAAAAGCAAACCAACACATATAGAAAGGGAAAGGTGGAAAGCAAGGCACGAATGTCCAGCACCTTAAGGTGGTCAGCCATGTGGGAATGTCCAGCACCTTAACCACCCTGCTACCTGCTGGTCCCCTCTTTGTTCTATTCTTAAGGCCACTGTGTATCCAGATCAGAGCTGAGCAGGGAGAAGGGGAGTAAAAGGAGAGCCGAAGTTGTCCCTGCCTTCCCAGAGTTCATAATCTTATTCTATCGACAAGATGCCTTCAGGAAATCCTGAAAAATGCCTTTAGAAACTGATGATCGTGGGACAGATGACGTAATAGTTACGTTGCTGGACTTCCACGTAGTCGACTGCTGTTCGAGTCCCAGACACAGTGGCTTAAAACTCATGCCAGGCACATGTGCGCGTGTGCTCAAGATCCTGAGAGGAGAGTGGAGAAGGGATTGCAGTCTGGCCATCCCCTCTGGGGAGTGATTTCTTGCTTTCTGTCTCTCTGGTGCGCGTACGTATACTATAGCAAAAATCTCTCTTAAAGAGAGAAAGAAACAAAGAAACTGAGGAGCGGGCTCAGTTCAGCAAGTGTTTTTCAAGCCCGTGCAGCGCCTCAAGTTCTAGGAGTGGATGTATCCTCATTTATGAAGTCCAGGGTGCTCAGGAAGAGGTGGAGCTTGGTTCTCACCATATATGGCCCACAGCCCAGTGGGGCTCCAGAGACAAACACCTCCGACTCAGACTGGGGGAGCCTGGCTCTTTTGTGGGAGGGAAAGGGAAGAAGTTCCACGCAAATAAAAATAACTTTTTGGACATAAATAATAAATATTCATGTTAAGTGATTCAACTATATTTTAGAATGATTTCATTTTATTTATTATTATGATTTTGAAATTTGGCCAGAGAGAGACAGAGACAGTGAGAGAGTGAGAGAGAGAGAAAGTGAGAAAGCAAGGTACCAGGGCTGGGGCTGAAACCGTGGTTGGCCATATGGGAGTCTGGTGTCAACCGCCATGCCACCTGCTGGCCCCAACAATTTAAATATTACAAAAAAATAATAATCAAGAAAGTGAAAATCACCCGAAGTCCCATCACCTAGAGGTAACTACAGATGGAACTTTGGAGACCATCTTTCCACATGATTTACTGTTTCATACTGACACCAACTTAGGCTGACTTGCTTCAGCAGAGAGAGAGGGAAAGTGAGAAAACAGCCTTCAGGAGATGGTCATGCTGCAATCCCCTCTCCTCCATTCTCTTCTTAGGATTTTGGGCACACGAGCCTAGCATGACCTTCGGTCACTGAATCTAGGCCTTGAACTGCTCAGTTGGTCAAGTGAGAGCCAGCTGCCTTAACTACCATGCCATGGGCTGGCCCATCTTTTCTTTAATTTCTTCCCCTTCCCTTGCTATTGTTTGTTTTGTGGGTCCCTCCTTGTCAAAGGTAACTGATGTTGACAGTTTGGAGTATGTCCTTTCCTATCTTTCTCAAACACTCACACACAAACACAGTTTTTTCTCTTTCTTTCTTTCTTTCTTTTTTTTTTTTTTTTTTTTTTTTGTGGTGGTTTTGCATTGTGTGCGCTCACCAGAAAGACAGAGAGAGACAAAGAGAGAGAAACCGAGAGAAATCACCCCCAGGGGGGATGGTCACACCACAATCCCTTCTCCTCCATTCACCTCTCAGGATCTTGGGCACGCATGCTTATGTGTCTGGCATGAGTTTAAGCCACCGGGTCCAGGACTCAAACCGCAGTAGACTACATGGGAGTCCAGCGACATAGCCATTATGCCATCTGCTGGTCCCCACATTTTGTTTTAAGAGAGCAATATGTTGTGCTCACTTCGGCAGCACGTATACTAAAATTGGAACAATAGAGAGAAGATTAGCATGGCCCCTGCACAAGGATGACACGCAAATTTGTGACGCAGTCCATATTTTAAAAAGAGAGAGAGAACAATATGTTGTTTTCTGCCCTTTGAGGCAAAGTATTGGCACATTTAGGGCCTTACCCCAGACCTACTAAATCAAGACCTTCTATTGTCAATCCAGGGCTCTGTATTACTAACCTTGACCCAGGGCATCTGGTGAGTGGGAGGACTAGCTAGTGAAGGCTCGAGTGACTGTGCATTGTCCTGACAGAGGTTCTGGAGGACCGCTTGTGCAAAGGCCCAGATGTGAGCGGGATCAGGGTCAGTTCTGGAGACAGCGAGACGGGGGCATAGAGGAGCAGTGCAAGGAGAGGAGGTGGAGAGACTTAAGCCCAGGAGGGCTTTGAATGCCAGGCAACACCATACACCCGGGGTCACATCCGGAGAACGTCCTTTAGTCCTCTTCCAAAGTGATCATGTCCGGAAGAAAGTCTCGGTGCCAGTTTATCATTTAAAAAATTTATTGTTTAAAAAAATATCACATGATAGAAAATTTTACATCATAAAAATATTACCTGCATGAGAGAGAGAGAGAGAGGATGAGAGAGACCCCTTGACAGAGTCTGGTCATGCCAAATCCCCTCCCTGCAGCTCTCCGGTTCGTCCAGGACCTTGAGCACGTAGGCACATACCTGGCGTGTTTCCGTCTGACCCAGTTGAAGAGCTGAACCTGAGCCTAGTCATGCAGAATCCAGCTTTCCTTGAATGGTGCGTTACCACTGTGCCACGGAGTGGGTCCTTGATTCCTGTTGTCAACCACTTTGTTAGCCTGGCCTGGCCTGCAGGAGGTTCCGGCTGATTACTCCTCCTTTGCCAAGCATGACCTTGGCTCTGTGGACCCCTGAAAGAAGCCCAAAGGCAGCGGGCCCTCCATACCACCCTGCCGACTCCAAGAAATGGTGTGTGCCCTTCGTTCTGGGGTCTTTGGGGTCACCCCAGGGACAATCTGGAAGAACATTGTCCAGCTCTTGGGTGGAAGAGAAGAGAGGTGGATGGGGTATGTGAGTTCTTCCCAGGGAGGAGGGTAAGAGGACTGACAGTTGTGACCGGTCTTCATTTAGAAGTTTGATATTTTGTCTAAGATTTTTTTACATGAATTTAAAAATATTTATATCGATTTGCATACCATAAATCCACCCTTTTAAAATGTACAATTCATGGGGCCAGCAGGTGGTGTGGTGGTTAAAGTGCTGGATTCCCACATGGCTAGCTGCAGTTCAAGTCTTGGATCTGGCAGCTTGAAAATCCAACAAACGGGGGGCCAGCAGGTGGCGTGGTGGTTCAAGTGCTGGATACTCCTACATGACTGACCACGGTTTGAGTCCTGGACCTAGTAGCTTACTTTCTCATTTTCCCTCTGTGTGTGTGTGTGTCTCTCTCTGGTCAAATTAAAATAAATGAATGAATAAATAAATAAAATTAAATAATTCCTTAAGGGAAAAAAAAGATAAAATAAACAAATAAATAGATAAATAAATGTTAAAAAAAAGAAACAAACAAACAAACAAAAAAGAAAAACAACTGTACGATTCCTATGCTTTGCTGTTGTTTATAAGCCAGAGGGCGTGTGCACTTGCCAGAGAGACAGAAAGAAATAAGAGAAGGAGAGGGACAAAGCACCGCTCATGGATGGTAGTCACCTCCCAATCCATCTCCATCTCTGTCTCCTTCGGGGATTTTGGGCATGCACAAACATGTGCCCAGCATGTTTTTCAAGCTGCTGGGTCTGGGACTGGAATCATCTGGTTAATTACATGGAGCCCAGCTCCCTTAGTCATTCAGCCATGAATGGCTGGCCCTTCGAGTGTATAACTGAGCAGTTTTTGGTATATTCAGAGTTTTGTGACATCACCACAAATAATTTTGGACCATTTCCATCATTCCAAAGGCAGCTGCACACCCAGGAAACAGCCACTCCCCATGTCCTCCTCCTCCCAACCTCTGGCAGCTACAAATCTACTTTCTATCCCAATGGATCTCCTGTCCTGGACGTTCTCTATCAATGCACTCATACGCTACATGGCCTTTTATGTCTGCCTTCTTTGACTGAACGTCTGGTTTTCAAGGTTCATCCATGTTGCAGCGTTATGACAGAATTTCATTCCTTTTTAAATGTTTTATATTTTAGCTTTTTACCTTTGGGCATGTGTGCTTGGCAGAGAGAAACCGAGAGACAGAGAGATGTTGTTGACCCAGGGTGGGGGTGGCCACCCTATAATCCCTTCTCCATCCTCCTCTTGGGATTTTGGGCATGCATGCATGGTGTGATTTTCAAGCCACTGGGTCTGGGACTTGAACCATGGTCAGCTATGTGGGAATCCAGTGCCTTAACCACCATTCTACTGGCTGGTCCCTCATTCCCTTTCAGGACTGAATAATGTACCATTGCATGGAGAGGCCACATTTTTTTGTATCCATCCATCAATAGATGGATATTTATGTTTTCCCTACGTTTTAGCTGTTGTGAATACTACTGCTATGAATATTCATCGATAAGATTTTGTGCAGGCATAAGTTTTAATTTTGAGGGGTTTTGCATCCATTTTAATTTAAAAAATATATTGCAAAAAATGCTATTTGTCTTGATTACTGAGTATTTTAGTGCCCTTTTAAATTGTGCACCTGGGAGGCTGGCCCCGTGGCCTAATGGCTAAGGGGGCCAGATCTCACATGACCCACCATGTGGTTCAAATTCTGGACCCGGTGGCCTGAAAAACACACTGAGGGTGTGTGCATACCCCAAATCCCAACAGGATCGAGAAACAGAGAAGGGACTGCGGTGTGACCATGCTCCATGGGGAGGGGACATGCTTTCTTTCTCTCTATCTCTCTGGCGAGCACACATGCCCTCTGACAAATAAAAATACACTCATAAAATTTGCACCCGGATCTAGTGCCTCATGTACCTCAAGCTAGGCCCACCTACAGATCTTGTCCGTACCTGGCTGTGTGACCTCGGGCAAGCTGCTTAACCTCTCAGAGCCTTGATTTCCTCCCCAGTAGAATGAGCCTGCTCCCCGTGGCTCCTCGAAATTGTGAGGAGAACTCAGGAAAGACACACCTTACCGCCCCAGCTCAGTGCCTGACTGAGCAGCGGATTTAACGAGGTTGTCCTGTGGGGAGGCCAGGCGTTGGGTCTGCGGTGGGACAAGTGGGTCCCAAAATGGACGAACTGGCCCTGTGCTTGAGGAGAGCTGGCTCCAATGCCTAAAACTTCCTGCTGTTTCTGTCTCCAAAAGTAACCGGCTCTTTGCCCTCCTGTCTCAGCCCACTGGCTCCTCTAGGTCCTTGGTGGCCACATATGGTTCTGTTAACCCCAGCAGTGGCCACCCTGGTCCCGGAACCTCCCACCACAGCTGCCCAGGGCCCTCCACCTCTGCCTCCACACACCCTCCCCTCTGCCCACTGCCACTGAAGACCGCGGCTCCCAGGCCCTCCACGCTGCCGTGAGGCCTGCACTTTGCAGGGCTGAAGTCCAAAGTTCAGTCCCTTCGCTAAGCGCACGGATAAATATGAACCTTGGAGAATTTCCCCAGCTCCAATGTAAACAGAGCAGGCAGGGGCCCTGATTCACCGGCCGCTGGGGCCAGGGTTGGGGGTTGGGGGTGCCCAAGGGCTTGGCTAGCGGGGTTTGGGAGGGCAGCGGGAGTCAGGGGGCCTGGTTGTGGCTGGCCGGCAGGCAGCGAGCCCTCGCTGAGGGGAGGCGGCCAGCTTGGTGGGCCCGGGCCGCGTGGCCCCGTGAGAGCAGAGCCATGGTCTCCAAGCTGAGCCAGCTGCAGATGGAGCTCCTGGCGGCCCTGCTCGAGTCCGGCCTGAGCAAAGAGGCGCTGATCCAGGCACTGGGTGAGCCGGGGCCCTACCTGCTGGCTGGAGACAGGCCCCTGGACAAGGGGGAGTCCTGCGGTGGTGGTCGAGGGGAGCTGGCTGACCTGCCCAATGGGCTGGGGGAGACGCGGGGCTCCGAGGACGAGACGGACGACGATGGGGAAGACTTCACGCCGCCCATCCTCAAAGAGCTGGAAACCCTGAGCCCCGAGGAGGCAGCCCACCAGAAGGCGGTGGTGGAGACCCTTCTGCAGTAAGGACCACTTCCCTGTCCCCGGCACCCACCGAGGAGCTCCGAGGGCCCACGCTCCGCTCCTGGCTAGCCCTCCTGCTTACCCCAGAGTCCTCGTGGGCTATCCTTTAGCCTGGCTGTCGGGAAGGGGGGACAGGGACCGAGGCAGTCCAGGGGTCCTTGCTCTGCGGTTGGAGCCCCCAGCTTCAGAGTCCCAAATCCCGAGGAGCTTTGGCCCTTCCACTGAGTCCTTGGGAAGTGGGGACATTCCCAGGGAGAGCTCCGAGATGGGGGGAGAGCAGAAGAGGCTGGGACTCAGCTGCCTGGAGAACCAGGGAGCGGTGGGGGTTCTTTGCCGCCATGCCATTCCGACTGCCCAAACCCTAACTTCCCTGCTAAGTCTTGGGGGATTGGGGGCCAGGAAGCACCACTGGGGAGAAGGGACCGAAGTCAGGGTTTTGGGGGGCTACTCTGGCTGCCTCGGGGTTCAAGCATTCAGCTGGGAAAGACCAGGCCTTTCTTACCTGAGGCCGGTGGAGCCCCTGAGGTGGGAGCCGCTCCTCTGTGTCTGCAGGGTGGCAGGCTTCCCCTCTTGCCAGCAGGCGCCATTAGAGGTTCCCCATTCTGTACCCCCCGTCTGCTAGCTGGTTCCCCATCTCCTGAAGAACTGGGTGGGTCCCGAGTGTAATGCCTCCCCTCTCCTCAGCAGAGAGGACCTGGTTACTAATTACCCACGCGCTTTATTATTTCTCTTTTGTTTTATAAATTTATAAACGGCAAAAGGCTCTGATAAGGCCTGTGATCATTAACTTGTGGGGATGGTGTCCTGGAGAGGCCTGGGCCAACAGGCCTCCCACCCGGTGGGGGTGGGAGATGGGAGGCGAGGGTTAGGGGAAGGGCAGCTTGGGGGCTGCAGGGACCACCCCTCCATAATCTCCACCCTAACTGCTGCCTGCTTCTGGAAGTTTCCTACTCACTGGGCGAGGTGCCAAGCTTCCCCTGACATTGAGAGAAACCTGGAAGGAAGCTGTTGACAATTCTGCTTCGCAGATGGGGAAACCGAGGCTTGGAGGGGAAGGAGCTTGACTAAGGTCACCCAGCTGGGATTCTAAACCCACAGCTCGGTGCTCTCACTTGCTGTGTTTGGGGTGTAGGGGGGTGCTGGGGCCTGCCAAGCCCCAGAGTCCTACCGGGACAGTCTCTTTTCTGTCCAAGGTCCTGATTCCAGCTTGGGGGGGTGGGGTGGGGTGGGAGATGGCTGGCAGATCCCTATCTTCCCAGAGGCCTCAGGGAGCGTCCTAAGGGCCTGGACCAGAGACAGGGGAGCAGTCAGGGCCCCCGGCTTGGCAGGAAGAGGAGGGCAAAGGGCTGTTGGGCTGCAGGGGAGGGGCAAAGGGCCAGGCATTGCCAGACCCAGGGGGAGGGCAACCTGGGCAGGGTGGGGCCGAGCCTCACCTGCTGGGGCTTCAGACAGGATAGGGGGTTCAGGGCGAGGAGGGGGTAGGGGATCCCGAGAGCTTTTCTTACCTGGCTGGCTGGGGCCTCCAGATGAGCAGCCCTTTTGTGGGATAGCAGGTTAGGGAGGTGTGAACATCAGCATTTGGAGGGTGGGCAGAAGCCA